GGATCATGATAGAGGAAAACAAAATAGTTCAACAGTTCTCAGCAGAAGCATTCACATGGCCATCAGTAACCAGAGCTGAAATACTAGCTATTCTCACTGCACTGTATACAGCCCCTCGAAATACAACAGTTACAATTTATATTGACTGTAACACCACAGTCAAAGTATGGAAATCCATCTGCTCACAAATAGAGATATCTATAAGAAGATGACAAAGATCACTAACTGGCCACTTTGGAATAAGATCAAGGATCTAGTGAAGAAGAAAGACCTGAATATGGAAATTTTAAAGGTCAAAGTCCACAAAATCAACAGTTTTAACAATCAAGTAGATTTACTTGTCAAACAGGCCAGGCGGGAGAATTCAATAACTTGGTATCAGCTATCAGAGCTAGGAAGAGTCTTCACGATAGCAGCATAAGAAGAATATACAATAGAAATTGATATCAGAGATTTCATTAAAATGTTCAATAAGAAAAAAATTGGACTAGACTAAACAACACAGAAACAAATCCAAGATCTTTGAATTCAAAATGATAAAATTATAGACTGGCCAACCTTTTGAAACCAGTTCAATCCAACCAATACCTTCAATACCTCTTTCAAAACCAATAAAGACAAAAGTTTTCTAATTAACTTAACTCACAATGAACTTCCAGTTCTACAGATACTTAAGAAGAGGAAATCAGAAGTATATATTACAACCACTTGCCCAGCATGTAAACTACAAGAAGAGACACTAGGACATCTTTTTGAATGCCTAGCCATTAGGAAAACTCGAAAGAACTTATGGCAAAAAGCAAATAAAAAGTTCAAGAAACTCATCAGTAAAAAAATAAAAGATAAGAAAGAAGTTCAACCTAAAATAAATGACTGGACAGACAAATGGTTAGAAGAGATCCAAAAATCTGACAGGGGCCTTTTCAATACTATCTGTGGATATATGAAAGAAAGCAAGATCATCTCCTTGAAGAAGTATCTCAAAGAGCAGCTCAAGATTTCACCAGCAAATACACAAGGTATAATCAATAAACTCTGATGAGAGCAAATTTTAAAAAGAAGATCTGGAATACTCACTGTATCAAAGTTATAGAATGGGAAAAGAAGCAAAACATTACAGAAGAGGACAAAAGAAACAAGAGGTCCAAGCTCAAACCTAATGAACAGACCGAACAGAACCAAAAAGAACCACCATTATCTTCAGAGGATTTGAATCTGGAGGATATCAAAGAAATAGAAGGAAATAAATATACGGTGATTATTAAGGATTGGGTTTGTCACGGAATAAAGTGGTTTGGTTTTTAACTGCAGACAGAACTTAGAATGATCTACAGTAATGACCTGTAGGCAAGGATTTTATTAATTAGAGGATTTATCCAAATTAGTAAAGAAGCGAAATATCATTTCCTAGGTTGCATTTAGAGAAATAGTTTTTCGATGACGAGTGAGTCATTATGTGAAAGTCACAATAATTTGTAAATACCTAGCATATATACAATAAAGACATGCCATGCTGACCTGACTGTGGGTTAAAAAAAAAGTTATTGAAAAAAAAAAAAGATAAGTCATTAATGTGATTATATATTAAAAAAAAGAATTAACAATTTATAATACAAGTTTTTAAATACAGTATATATTCTTATTAAATAAATATTGATTTGAAAAAAATAATCAAATATAGAAAAATTTTTTACTTATTATTTCAACTTTGACTTTAGACTTTATAATTAAAATTTTTTATTCTTAACAAGGTAATATTTAATATATTTATATAGTTTATTGTAACAAAGCATTATAACTTTGGTTTTTTACAAAGTACTTAATGAACATTCCATATAAAGGTATTGATTTTTTACTGATATAACGATCACATCTTTAAGGCCTTAGCGTAATTAATGTGCACAGTAAACCAAAATTACAACTTACCTTATACAAATAAGAATCGAAACCAATCATTAATGTAACTTATATTTCGGTATGCGCAATTTGCAAACTCTTGGCCCTTAGGTGTGCCTTAAAATTGGTAATTAAGGTCGCCTGCAAAAAAAAAAAAAAAAGAAAGAAAAGAAATGTGAAATTCGAAGTAAGAGTGATAATTACCTCTTCGGAATTTCGAAACAAACGAAATGGATAAATGTAATTTAAGTGTAGCGTCATCATCCAGCTTCGTTTGAAAATTTTGGATGCGAATTGATTTCTGAAAAAAGATGCTGATGAAATATCGATTTAGTGAAAATAAAGCGTCTTGCATAGGAATTGAAGGGTTGCAACTGAAAACAGCTGATAGCGTCGGTATATGATGTTTTATTGTTGATGTTGGGTTAGTTGCCAGTTGATGTACAAGTCGAAAAAAATGCTGACCCTGCGTTGACTCTTTGAAGTTAAGCTGAAAGGTTGAACACGGAAGTTGAAAATTTTGATAAACAAGCTGAGGGGTCGTGAATGAAATAATAAACAAATCTGACTGCATAGATAACACCCTAAAACAAATAGAAGATTGTACAATGAACATTCTCTATGCTGAGATTTATAAAGAAACTATAAATTCAACCAAGACACATGTTAATAAGGTGAGCGAGGTCGGGGATAAGGTTCATAGCGGGCTGGCGGTGGAGGCCGACGATCTCGATCATAAGCTCTATCATAAGTTCTATCATAAGCACGGTCGTAACTTCTCTCATACCCCCTGTCATAATAAGATCGATCATAGGCACGATCATAGTAAGGATCCCGTCCGTAACCTCTTGGCGGCCTATCATAACGATCATAATGTCTGCTATAATCATATCTAGGGTCAAATCTGTCGACTCTACGAGGTTCTGTTGAGAAAATAAATGAAAGAATCAATAATGAATTATGTATGTGTTAAAGGTTTATTACGCCTACCTCTACGTTTAGGTGGCCCATAATATCGACCAGGAGTCGGAGTTCTTGCTCGAGAACGGCGAGCCTTTATATTTTAAATAAAAATGATGATTTCGTATTCTTTTTTTTTCCTCAATACATAGATCGAAGTGTTAAATAAGATAGCATGTAACTCACCTTCTCTACAGTCACAACACGACCATTGATTTCTTTAGCATTAATACCTTCCCTTGCCGCTTCCGCCTCATCAGTCGTCTCCATCGTTACGAATCCAAACCCAC